TAAACCTCTGAAGAAGCTAGCCACTCGTGCCAGCGAAACGTCAGGAAGAAATTCCAAAAACCCACGGCTTTTAAACTCGAAAAGCAACGACACTGTCTTAGGTATCCTGAAACATCGGATATCCACCAGTGAAAATGACAGTTTTTACCGAAAACCTGAGCTTTCCTATAATATTATTTACTCTTTACCAAGTTGAACTCAGATATATTTAAGACAAGTTTGACAAAGGTGACCCCATAATTTGTTTCGTCGAATGCCAATATTGCCATTTATCATTAAGATTTTTGCAGATTCGAGCAGATAATAATTGCCCACAGACGAACACAAGTTGTAAGTTACTCTTTTTTCCTCATTCAAAAAATCTTACCTTCCGTGATTTCTCTCCGATAAAAATCCTCAGTCGTGGAAACCTCATTGTCTTCCATCTTCCTCGAGTCATCACCACGCGTTCTCGTTTGTTTTTCTGCACTAATAAGCCGACTGTTCAATTCAGTTTGAAAACAAAAGCCATGTTCACTGGAAACTTCAAAAGGTTTTCCCAACTCTTCGATTTTCGCTTCAGGACTTCCATCACCACTATCAGTGGTGGAGAGCAAAGAGTCTATGGAAAACTTCACGGTGTTTTGCGATCCCTTTTTCAGTTCACTAGAATTTTCCGTTTTGTGATCACTAGATATTTCCATGTTTTCACTTTCCAGAACCCCCACAAGAAACCTGTTACTTTCACTCTAATTATGTATCTGAAACAATTTTTAGCGCTGAAATGCCTCTGGGCAAATCGTTTCACTGTGACTTAAGACGACTTGAGCTGAAACCGTTGTTGGGCCAATAGAAGCTGACGGGGCGGGGTTCACAATGATTTGTTGGGCAGGCGTTTTATAATTAAGATAAATGTGGCTGCAAGCACATGTTAAATTTAAACATAATTTTGTTTAGTTTGTTTCAAAAGTTAGTAGTGCGTGGGGAAATATCTGATCTATGACAAGCGTTTGAAAGATAGGATAGTCGGATTTTGGTTTCATATAGAGCGCCAGTGAAACATATTAGAATGTTTAAAAGTTTTGAACGATGACAGACTAGGAACTTTTATTCTGGTTATTTCTTTCAAACCGATGATATTATGAAAAAAAAACTATTGCTAGGCCACCGAAACAGAGTTTTACAGCTATGATACGCTTCTTCCCATCAACATAAAACAAGTAAACAAATAAATACCAGGTGAAACAAATACAAATATTCAGATAAAATATGAGTAATCATGAGGCAAAAAAATTAAAATATTCATTCAGTGTATAAAAACAATGGTCGAACAAAAACGACTTCAGTCTATTTCTGAATTTCGTTGGGTTTTTGGTGGTTTTTATTATATTTG